TGCTAGATAGGGGTGGATTCGAGCTTAGTCGAGATGAATAGCTAGCTATTCGAGCTTGATTCGGTAAGGCAGTACGAGGCTCGAGTTAGAACCTTGAGTTCAAACTCAGTTCGAGTCAAAAGCTCATAAGCTTAAGCTCGGCTCCGCTCAAATTTGAATTGAGAAAAATGTTTTATAAAAATAAAAAATAATTATATATAAAAACATTTTTTATTTGATATTTAAAAAAATTAAGAATTATAATAATTAGTTATTATTATATAAAAAAATAAAAATATTATATATATATATATATTATTTTCTATAAATTTACTACCACTACTATTACTTCTACTACTACTACTACTACTACTACTACTATTATTATTATTATTATTATTTTATATATATATGTAGCTATTCAACCTCGGCTCGCGAGTCTCATGAGCCGAGTTTTATTATGCTTGAACTCGACTCAATTAATAAATGAACCTATAAATTGAGCTCGACCTCGGTTCGAAGCTCGGTTGAAACCGAGCTGAGCCGAGCTTTTCACAAGCCGAGATCGAATAGCTCATGAAAAACTCAGCTCGTTGCCATCCCTAGTGCTAGAGCCATGCTAAAGGAGTTTTCGGAAGAAAAAAACCATGCCTAGATAAATGAATCGGATCGAATTGGGTTCAGTAAAAGCTATATGGGATTCAACTCGATTTGAATTGTAATAAAAGAACTTGATAATATATTATAGATAATCTATTGCAATATATAATATATAATTATATAAATAATATAATATATATAGAATATACATATAATATATATAATATTATATAATATTTCATAATTAATAGATTGACTTTTCCAACTCGATTCGATTTATTAGAATATCCAAATCCATCTCTTATCGAATCAAATTCGAATTCTAATTCGATTTATTTGCACCCTTACATATATATATATAGGTAAACACCAAGTAAATTTGAGGAGGTATACTAAAACATGCAAATTAAAGGATAGTTTTGGTAAATATATGAAATATAAGGATATTTTAGTAAATGAATTTTTTTGGGTTAATTTTCACATTCCCTTGATTGAGAAATAGAAAACAGTTAATAGTTATGAGGGGTTTTGTTAGTAAATGACCAAGAAAAAAATTATTGGTCGATTCGCCATGGAAGATGACCGGTTTGGGTGGACCCTCTTTCTGGGCGGTCTAGTAATGATCCGTTGTGCAATTGTCTACCGTGTAGAGTACGAGTGGTCGGTCCCCACTCCCCACCCTAGACTCCACCACTCTTAAACCTTAATCAATTAGGGTTGGGTTGTTGTTCAGCCTTTTAGCCATTTGATTTATAGACTCTTCTTTTAGATAATTTGACTTTTTCTTCTTTTGGCCTGCCATCACAAAAGCGATCAGATGGCTACGAACGGAATTGATCAAAAGATTAAGTTGAGAAAATATAGGTCAACCCTATAACTAAAGAGTTCCCAGCTTCCCAGATTCCAATCAAAAAGATCATAGAAAGGGATTACCAAATCTAAGATGATTTTCTTGTTAAAGTACTGGATCACTTTTAAGGTTTGAATCATTAGGGGTTGATCTGCTGTTCTACACCAATCTCATGGATTTCCAAGATGACCAGAAGATCCTCACCGTTCAATCAGCAGAAACTCTCGTGGGGCCATCCGCAAAAAAACTGATGCATGTGGATTTGGAGTTAATTTTAAGTTTGGAGGAACTTAGAAGGTCTAATTGTCTAAATCATGGCCTGGCCACATGCTTAGTTGAAAACAGGGGCTAGCTTTTTTTGGTGGACCAAGGAATCACGGAATCACTCATGGAGCCTAAGAAATATTATAAAACCTAATAATTACTGCTCCCCAAGTCTCATCGATGCGGATAATGTGGGCACAGTAGTACAATAAAGTAAAGTGTGTCGGGAATCTTTGTTAGAAAGCACAGTACAAAAAATAATAGATTTCAATTGCAATACAGTTTTTCTGCTCATCCCATTCAAAGCCCTGGACAGAGTTGCCATTTCACTAATTAATAGCAATCAGTTTGTTAGATCATCAAAATCTTTTAGATGGGATTTTAATATCTTGGCATTACAAGGCTTGTTAAATTCAATATTTTCTGCATTTTTATCAAAAAATAAAAGCTAAATAATAAGAAAAATTTTCTTTTAAGGTATAAGGTTGTTTTCATTTTTTAATGTTTTAAAAACCAACCGGAAATCAAAATCAGAATTGCTTTGGTTGTTGGTTCAACCATCTGATTCGAACGTTTGGCTCAAAAATGTAGTTTTGGTGGAACAGGTTAATGGTTCAACTGCCCAGGTCAATAGGTCATTGACCAAATGAATTGGTATCCTAACTGGTTTTCAGGTCAAGTGGTCCGACCATCCGGGTCAATAATGATTTGAAAATCTTAATTGTTTTACTCCATTAATAGGTTAGTTGAGTTGTATGTAGTTTAATATTTTCAGCCTACCGTTGATTCGATCAATCAGCTGCACCGTTGATTCAGTCAATAACCCAGTAATTCAGATGGACTTAAACAATTAAACCACCGACCCAGTCATCCGAGGAAAAAGCGGTTCAATCTCTGGGCCAGATTTTATCATTTTAACTAGTCTGATGGATTTAAGAAATATTAAATATAAAAAGGTGAGTTAAAAGAGCAATTGGTCCATTTGGGGATCCACTTGAGAATTGAGACTAAAAGCACCTTTTGATACACTAATCTAGGATAGTTGAATTAAGATATAATTCTAGGATTCCACACATGAACATAGAGACTCTAGGGTGTTTAGAGAACAACAACATAACATAAAATATGTTTTATATTTTAAAATTTCAATGCCTCTGTTTTATTTATTATTATTTTTCCTATAACAGATTTATGGTTGTAATGTATTAACATTGCCTAATTTCCCCATGAAGAGGTGACTGAGGTTGGGATTGGTCAAAGCTTTTTCAGAATGATGTCTTTCCGGCATCATAGATTTTCCCCATATGACCATATTCAACGGTTAATTAATAATCTTAACGTTCGAAAGCTGAAACACTTTCAACCTATGAGAATTCTCTTTGAATTTACATTCTAGAAACACTGTGTGACTTCTTTATGGCTATCACTCTATTTTCAAAATCCGAAATTATATTTTGAATCACAAAGACCCCATAAATGGAGCTGGAGCAAGAATTTAACAGGTTGACCCATAAATGGAACATTAAGGTTATGTTTGGTTTGAAGGAAAAGATATTTGTATAGGTTTTCTTACTTTTTCCTTCAAACCAAACACGTCCTAAATGGTTCAATCAAAAACAAAAAACATACAAACAAAACTGAATTAAAGTATTGAACTGGCTGATTAATTAGAAAAATATTATTGAATGAGTTAATTGCTTGATTTTTTTTTAAACTTTTTAGCTAAAAGAGGTATTATTTTTGGACCAAAAAAAAGATTTCAACACTTTTTTGTTCGTCAAAGATATGGCCGTGAAATGGAGAAACAAGATTTGTGCAATGGACCCATATAACTGGGATAAGGCGAATGATGAGGAGGATAACGACGATGGCGACGATGATAAAGATTTTTCTTTCAAATGGAATACACTTGGAAGAAAGTTATGACAATGAGATAGATCCTTGACCAACTGCCATGACTTGTATGCATAAACCAGGAAAATTTTCACTTAGTGCAGCCCAAATAAACGAAAAAATTAATCCATCTTTTTTTTTTTTGAATTTATTTTTTAGGTCTAACAATCCAAGCTCACTTCACTTCAGTCGCCTTCAAAGAGTCAGGTTGATCCAAGTCTACCATGTCCACCCAACCAAATCAGGCCGACCCATGCCAATGACCCTGTCAAGCTCTAGCTTGGAATCCATGTAATTGAATCTACCACATATTTTGCTCACATTCCAAGCAGTCCATTTGATCATGTAATTCGCACAAGATAGCTTCTATATGTGACCATAAGATGGGATATGGCACAAATCAAAGGGGTGATATCCAATGATTGTAATTTTTCAAGTTTCAAGAATTGAAACAGGTTAACTGTAGGAAGAGTATTGACCTTTAAAAGAGGCTAGATATCCTAATGGAGTGGATCAGGTCCAATCTAATCTAATCAATATTTTGGACCATTTTGGATTGGTCTAATTTAATGCTCAATCGTTTAATCAGTTCAAATCCGTTTTAATTTAGATTGGTTTCKATCCAAACTCGGTCTATTGACACTTGTAGTCTTATCTTATATCAATGGACTAGATATTATCTTAATCCAACTCAATTCAATATAAATTTATTAGGGATGAACTAGGTCCAATCCAATCTAATAAATATTTTGGACTGAATTGGTCCAATCCAATATATTTTGTTAATCCATCCAATCCGTCCAAATTGATTTTGGACTGGACGGGATGCGGTCCAGCCCAAGACCGGTCTATTGGTACCCTTAAATTGTATGAATGCATTAAACCTTATACTAGAGATTTTTCATATCTCTTCCTCTCATGGATAACTTGGGAATCTAACATTAATAATGTTGCGGGGGACAAAATTGTGTTCATGAGTGAAGAAATGGAGAAGAGTTAGGGAGGGTGGTTGTTTTGTTGTGTTTGGTGTGATTTGGTTTGGTTTGGCTTGATTTGGTTTGATTTGATTTGAGTTTTGAGGAAACATATGCATATGTATGAATGAATACAATAGAGATGCATCATGTACATTACAAGAGCACAATATTGGTGTCATTAAATGGCCATGGGAGGCAAATCTTGGGGGAATCAAATGAAATTGCCCCCTCTTTGCACCACCCCACCTGCACAAGATATGGTAAACGCACATGATTTCTCACCAAGGAAAAGGAGCAGGGGTGACGTCACAGTATCTCTTGGGGGGGATTTTGGTGGGACCCACCCCAGCTTTTGCTTTCAGTCCAAAACATTTCCGATTTTTTAATTATTTATTTTTTTTTTTTAGCAATAGAAACCCCCAACAGAACCTTCACAAACCTTGTGGATGTGAAGAAGGGGGTTTGTTAACAAAGTCGGAAGAATCAGCAGGACCCATGGATTTGTTATTGTTTTTTCTGTTTTTAAAACGGGAAAATACATGGAAAGGAGGGTCCATTGCTTGTTATCTAATTCAAAAATCAATTTGGAAAATTCGGGAGATTCGGTGTGAAATCTGGTCGGATCTTGCTTTCTAGGCTGTGGGATTTTGGTGGGTAGTATTTCAACCCAACTGGGTTGTTCTCTTCCCTCCTGCAAATCCTTTTATTCCTTCACCACCTCCACCACTATCACCATTCCAACGGCACAGCAAAACCGTTCTATAAAAGTCTCTTTGTTGCTTCACTTTTTTCTTCTATTCTGTTCTTCTTCCCAGTGAGCTTGAAAAGGAGTGAAATGGGTATGGCAGCAGAAGCCCAGTTTCATGTTTTGGCAGTTGATGATAGCCTCATAGACAGGAAGTTGATTGAGAGGCTCCTCAAGAATTCTTCCTATCAAGGTGTGTTGATCATCGCCCCACTCAAGATTTTGAGAGAAAGAAGAAAAGAAGATCAATTTAGTGTCAATTCTGCTCTTTCTGGATTTGAATCTGTTGGGTTTTGATTCTTATTGTTTCTGTGTTTTTTTTCTGTTCTTGTTTGTAGCAGTTACCGCAGTGGATTCTGGAAGCAAAGCTCTGGAGTTTCTGGGTTTGCGTGAGGATGACCAAACAAACCCAAGCCCACCTTCTGTTCCTTCCAACCATCATGTAATGATCCCGTCTTCAATTTCTGGAAACCTTTCTGTTTTCTTTTCTGGGTTTCTTTTGGTTGATCTTGGTTTCTTGCTTTCACAGGAAATGCAAGTGAATCTTATAATTACAGATTACTGTATGCCCGGAATGACAGGCTATGACTTGCTCAAAAAAATCAAGGTATAGTTTGTCTTTCTCTCCTTTCTTCCTCTGATTCTCTTTTATTGGGATTCATCTCCACCTCAGGGTTCCTTTTAGAGAAACTTACAAGATTTTTTTTTCTGCAAACCTACAGGAATCTTCATCTCTGAAAGACATACCGGTTGTAATCATGTCTTCTGAGAATGTACCTTCAAGGATTAACAGGTAAAAAACAAAGACCCATATTCCCTCTTAACACCTTATTTGATTCAAAATTTAAACCCATCTCACCCTTCCAAAAAAAGAAAATAAAGATTAGAAAAAGAAAAGGATAAGATTGAATTTTGAGATGAAAAGCCTAATTTGTTTTCTGGGTATATGATGTATCAGATGCTTGGAAGAAGGAGCAGAGGAATTCCTCCTGAAACCAGTGCAATTATCAGATGTGAATAGACTTCGACCCCATTTATTGAAAGGGAAGTTGAGGGAGCAAAAACTACAACAACAACAACAACAACTATCACCACCACCACCACAATTACCACAACAGCAACAATTGCAACCACTGCAACAACCACAGCAACCCAACAACAAGAGAAAATCCATTGAAGAAGGCCTTTCACCTGAGAGGACAAGGCCAAGATACAGTGGTCTGGCAGTAGTTTGATCAAAAAATAATATTTTTCCACTACTTTTTTTTCCCGTCTTTTGTTTTCTGTTTTCCTTTCTTTTCCCCTTCACGTTGGAGAACACAGGCTCAGTGGGAAAATTTTATAGATTCAGATTCAGAGAAGAGACGGAGAGAGGGAGAGAGATGAGGTGAGGGATGTTCCATCATCACTGTGGAACACTTGTAAACATTTTTTTTTAGAAACAGTATCCATTCAAATTTTGTTTAAATAAATAAAGGAAGCAGCAACCATCATCAATGCGTTTAATGCACCGAATTGCAGAAGAGCTCGGAGCCTTGGATTCAATTCAGAGTTCATCAAAATGGTCTCTTCAATGACCCCTTTAAATAACCCAGTTTTTGCTTTTTATTCCACTGGTTTTGACTTCTGAGAAGAATTTGAATCAGATGACTTTGCCTTTAATTCTTTATCCCACACCTCTTACAGGCCTCGATTTCTCTGGTTCTTGTGTTTATTATATGCAAATAACTATGATCGTTGAACCAGCAAGCAGAGACATCTCTCATGGAGATAAACTGATTGAGAGTCTCCTCCACTAACCTGAGAAGACTTGTGACCTGCAACTGGGGAGTTGGGAGAATTAGTATTGAGTCTATTTGACCCTATGGTGGGAGCAATACAGCACTGGTTGGCTGAAACTAGACTAGACCTCATTCTGAACCAGTTTTGCTTAAAATATATAAATCAGGGTAAAGAATTGAAGAGGAATTCCATCATGACTTGTGATTTCAGTCTAATGGCTTCAAAAGAACCGGTCAAGGAATCTAGCTGGATGATCATGATTTTGAATGGGTAGGAATTGGTCGAACAAAATCCAGGTATGACCAAAATTGGGTTTGGACCAAAACTTCACAAACCGAGTCAGTCAAGATGGTAAACCGTAAACCAGGTCACTTGAGCCTTTGCCACCTAATGAAAGATCCAGCCAGCAAGGCAGCAACTAGCAAGTATGACCTATCAATGTATATCCAGAGTGGACCCTAATATGTGCATCGGTTCTGGGTTTTGTCCAGGTCAGGTGGCCCGGGTTTTAGAAAAGTTGTTCAATACAAGGTTATACTGAACCGGGGTGGGGCCGAGTTTTGCATACCCCATCTCTGACCCGGAACTTAAATACCCTACCCGATACCCGGATGGGGCTAGCTCAATTTTGCCCCACCCCACCCCGATCATTCCTAAATCTATTTTTTGTTTATTTTCATATATAATATATATTATATCACCTATATTATATAATGCGATATAATATAATATCATACACATTTATAGCCTTAATGGGGGTGGGGTGGAGTCCTAGAGTTTCCCCAAAACGTGATCAATAATCAGAAAAAAAAAAGACGGTATGCATATAAAAAGGTTAGGTTCGATTATGATCACAGAAAGATATGATACCGGAAAAATTTACAATCAATCAGCTGGGATCATACCAAGGTTTGATGTGTCGGTAGGAGCGTATTGGACAAATTGATACCTTTTTTTTTTACTTTTTTTGTTTTTTCAAAACTGGTTCAGGGGGGTTGGTTTAGAGTTCCTTCACCCCCTGAACCGGTCAGACCCCTGATACAACCACTGTAAGGGTGTATTGGAGGGGYCCTAGAACGATACGTATTGGTGGGCCAATACGTATCGATACTTTGAACCTTGGATCATAGATGTAGTAATTAATCAGAAGAGTTTTCATCAAATTCACAGAGGACTATGATTGGTCAAAGCATTTCTGGTATCATGTCTTTCTAGTGTCATGGATTTTCTCAAAAAAAAAAAAAAAGTTTTAAATTAAGTATATCGCCCCTCTGAATCGTGCAACATGAAGCTTTGAACTGTGGTTCTAGATTCAAAACCAAAAATGATTAATTGGGCATATGGAAATTGGCAAAATTCTATTGAATAACAATAAACTAATTGGGTATGTACAGTATAAAACTTTTTACTTTGTATTATTATTTGTGTTCTTTCCAAACTGAGCCTAGTGCAATTTTATTTGTACTAGTACAAATGCATGAGTGCTAATAAAAAAACTGTAAATTCTCATTTAATTTTGTTTTGGGTTTTAATTTATTCTCTTTTACGTCTTAATTTATTTTATTTGTATTGCAATCAAACAAAATAAGATAAATTTTGAAACAAAAGTAAGTTGAAATTTACACTCAAATCATTTGCATTGTCATAGTTTTACATCAGTACAAATTTATTTGCATTGCAATCAAACACAGCCTAAAGAAGAAAAAATGTAGTCCCTGTAAATTTAAAGATTTARATAATGTTTTTCCGGGCATTCACTGACTGCGTTAGGAGTTGGAACTGGTTCCAAACGGATCTTAAAACTATGGACCGAGTTGAACCCGATTTTAAAAATTTGTGGACCAGACATACTAATTGGGGCCTTGTATGTCAGGTGTCGGGGTAATTCGGTACCCATTTGCATCCCTGACCAGGACTTTGCCCCCAAGGATGAAACTGGGTAAATCTAGAGTGGATCCAGTCAAATCTAGATCTACTTCCAAATAGGGATAAAAGGTTCAGAACCTAGCTGGATCCCAAGGAGTGGATCCAGAACTGGTCCACTTAAGCATAATGCACATATATAGTGGGATCCATACATGGTCCAGACTTTATCAGATCCCTCTTGTCGGATTTGGGTCTTCTTTTTGATATTTTAAGAAATTAATCTTTGTGAAGACAATTCCGCTAACTACAGATGTGGATCAGGCCCATCAGGGACAAATTTGGACTCACCCGCTCAATTACATGCCTTACCTGTCGAAGTGTCGATTCCTAATTAAGGTCTAACTCATGGTTCAAAGTATCATACGGTAAAGGTGTATCGATATTATGTTTGGTTTGAAGAAAAATGCAGAGAAGGAAAGGGAAAAGTAGAGAAATCTTTATAAATCTTTATAAATCTTGTATAGTTTTTTTTGCTTTTTTCTTCCTTTTCCTATCTTTTACTTCAAATCAAATATAGCTTTGATGCGTTTTTTATTTTTTTATTTTTTTAAATTTCAATTTTAATTATAATTATATATATGTATATATTATTTAATAAAAAAGGATCTTTTGAAAACACCAGTAAACAGGTGTATCGGCATTTAAAGATACAATAAAATATGCATTTTAGCAAATATATCTTGTGGATACTTTGAACCTTGAGTCCATTAATTGGCTGACCAGCCTTGTGATAGGACACAAATCGGAATTGGAATCAGATTCAAATCTTTCAAAATCTAAATCAGAATCGATTCTCATAGTTTGTTTGATTCATACAATAATGGAAACGAAAATTAAAATCAGCAGGAATAGAATTTCATTCTCAAAGGAGAGGTAGGGAATAGCCATTCCCTTAAATGGAAGAATGGCATTATAGCAGGAATGAGAATGAGATTCCGATTTTACCCGACCAAATAATTAGAATCGGAATAGCCATTCTGATTGCAATTCCATATCCCTATTTCTACGAATCAAATGGGGTCTAAAAAAACTTGGGTCAGGTTGGATTAGGCATTTCTTAAATTTTGAATGGATCCAAAGGCACGAATCCTAACTCAACCCGATGTGGTTGAAATTGTTCTATTTGTAAACCCGATTTACACCCTAATTGATATAGTTAAGGTTGGTTGAGCTGATTGATGAAGGATATGGTGATGAAAGGAGATCCAAGCAAGTCATAATGGTTTAGATATGGTGAGAGAAACTTTATACCTAAGCAATGTAGTTAACATTGGCCTTGAAACTTGGCTTCACAGTTCACATCCAAACTCAAATTTTGAGTGCAAAAGCTTTAAACTATGTGGTCCTGCTTGAATCCTTGCCTACCAACTCAACAAGCTTTTATCAAAAAACAAAGAAAAAGTAGACGGATGCCATAGTTTTATTATCCTTATCTCTACTTACTACAATAAAGGAGTAATTATTTCAATGAGATAGAGATTAGCTTGAGCAAATTGAAAACTCTTGATAGAAACTCACCTTTAACTGTGAAAAGTGGAAACCAATCACTTCTTATGAGATTCATTCTATCTCAAGAGCATATTGAGAATAAAGTGATCTTATGTGTCTGTCTCTGTGATAAACCACCTGCAAAAGGAGCTTACATAAGATAGCAAATCTAGCTTATCTACTTGCTTAGTTAAAGATTCTTCCCAGGAATTGTTTTTAATGAACTTTGACTAATTTGCACCAAGTGAAGGGTTGGACTGCAAAGGCATATGCATTTATCCAAACAACTTTCTTTAATGTTAAAGAAGTTTCATTTTGTAAACTTCAGACAAGTGGATGATCAATTTTCAGCATGCATGTTCTTAATCCGGTGAGAACATTAACATTAGTTTACATTATAAGAGAGATTTGGTTAAGTAACATATTTTAGTCTTCCTTTTTTTAAAAACTAGTTGTATCAATCACCCATAGAGAGTTGGTACCTGATTTTTTTTATTGGTTTAATTATGTAGAGTTTGGGTTTTAATTACTGTGAGGATCTCCTTTATCATGGTATAGGGAGTCAAGAGAAGATTTGGGTGCGATTCATATTTACAATAATAGAAGCAAGGATCCAAGCACAAAGAAATCAGATCAACTATTGTTACAAATACGAGTTTCATTGCAACTAAAAGCTCAGTTTGGATGGAGTACAAATAAAAATACGTAGAGTGTAAATCCGTGTATTTTGTATTATTTTATATGTATTTGTACCGTATACATTTGTATTTATACTTCTTCCAACCTAAGGTCCCATTTTTTTTTTGGGAAGTTATTTATCCAGGTAAATGTACTTACCCGGATAAGTGTTTTCTCAGAGATATTTACCCGGGTAAGTGCATTTACCCATTTTTTTTTATTATAATGTGATGACCATTTTAGTCATAAAAAGCCATTATTAAAAGAGAAAAGTGTATGTCATCCAAATGTTAGCAACTTTCCCCCCATGTGGGAAAGTTACTTACCCACCTGAGAGATGGGTAACACTTACACAGGTGGCACCCAAGGAAATTAAATTTTCTGTGGACCCTACATATATCTGAAAAAAGTACATGAATATCTTGGTCAGTGGGAACCAAAATCCATTGATGAACTTTCTCCCCTCTCAAAATCCAAAAAACGAATAGGCCCTAAATTGAAATTTCAGGGCATCGAACAAATAACCCCACACCAAACTATCTAGAAGCATTCCAACCCAACTCAAAAGATGGCTTGGATTGGGTTTGTGGTTGGGTTTAAATTCTAGTTAGAATTAGGCTTGAAAAAAATCTAAACTTGACTTACTTCA